ACACACACACACACACACACACACACACACACACACACACATCCACACACACACACACACACACACACCCACACACACACCGTTAGCTGAACACTGGGACTGTGAGATCAGGTGTTTTAACACTTGTCCTATCACTAAGATAATCTACACATATGTCAAGTGCGGTAAAACACACAATAGTCCGCAGGCGCACGCAGGCATGCTGAATAGGTGTCGGCTCCAATTCTTGTGAGTTTTCAGATTTAATAATTTCGACTGTTTAAAAAATGGCAAGGGCACGCTGCGAAGGTGATGGAGAGGAAGAGACCAGAGGCGGAGAGGAGAGGAGGAAAATAAAGCAGAAAGAAGGGAACAATGAGGGCTCATTGTTTGTTTTGTTCTGCTCTGAAAAAGAGGGAAGAGAAACGCTTCCCTTCTGAGACTGAATCGCAGAGATAGAGGCATCTGTGACTGTGTGAGCATGTGTGTGTGCGTGCGTGTGTGTGTGTGTGTGTGTGTCCGTGTCCGACTGAATAGGATTTAACCCGTCACGGCAATGAGTTTCTTTACCCATCCGTGGATACAATGAAACCAGCCGGATATCAAGCTACCCACCCACACACACCCACGTCCACACCAAGAAACATGCACACACACACACACTTTCACACACATGAATGGACAATATTGATTATGACAAGTCGAAGCTTTGTTCTTGCTGCTCAACTACAGTAGCTTCTCTTACCTCCTTCATTCTGTTTTTCTCTGGACGTTTGTGGGTCCAGATGCTTTGGTCAGTGTGTTTGTGTGGATGTGTGTGTCCACATGTCTGTGTGTGTGGGACAGAGAGAAAGCAGAAAGCAATAAGCTGGCTGAAATGGTGCCATCAGAGCTACATGATTGATCAATTGAATTCCATCATGGGGACTGGCCGGTGGGATTAAATGGGTTGCTGTGGGTTACCAGGCTAAAGCATCATACCGCCTTTATCTCTCTCCCTGATTGGTCTGTCACCAGAGACCTGAACCATACACACTCTCCCGGCGTCTGCGAGTGAGTGTGTGTACGAGACTACAGCGGTGAAAGAGAGATTACGATCGAGGAGTGTGTTTGTGAGCCTTCGGGTGAAAGAGGTTTTGTGTTCTGAAAACGTAAAGTGAGATTTTGTGAGTTGGGCGGCTCTGAGTGTCAGAGAGAGCTTCAGGTGCTGTTTTAAGATACACGGTTCACTAGAAGTATCTGAAATAAAACAAAACCACCAGTTTGAGTCAAGTTTAGTGTGTACTCCAGAATTAAAATTTGAATTTGTTTTGTTGCTCATCTCTTATCTTCCACTGGATGAAAATATTCTGTAACATGGTACAAGTGACAAGATACATGATCTTAATATTTTATAAATGTTTCTTATACCATAATATAAACAAACCATCATAATCCTACATTCAAACACTGTTATTGTTTCCTAACAGGTACTTCAATACGTGTGTGATTTATTCAATAAGAAACAAACTGACAAAAGTGAAATTACAAAGTTTATTACTGCAGCTATCACCACTCTTTACTAGAGATGGGTGATACTGGCAAAAAATATATACATATCATGTTAATTGTGGCGTTTAGCCGTTAACAATTAATAAGACAATTAATAGATGAGCACTTGCATGTAGCCAAAGTTGTGGCCTTGGTCCACATTTTATGACTTTCCTCTTACTCCAGTTTGCATTGGTGTTTCAAGTTTGTAGGGTTAGAGTTAGCATAGTTGCCTTCAGCCAGTACCATCACTTGTGTGCCTGATAGTAATAGTGTTGCACACAAAAATCATCACGTGACGCTAACTGCAGTAATAGTAAAGTACCAAATTATAATTGTTGACAGTTTTTTTAAATCACTTCAGTAGAAAAAAGAACTTAATATTAGTTTCTTAATTTCTTCTTCATCAGTGATTTTATTTGTTGTTGACAGTTTTTCTGATGATTATTTGCACAATGAAATGATTTTGTCCAATCCTTGTGCAGCCACGTTGAATTTTGAAGCTGAAGACATAAAACTCATCATAGGTGATCTGACCTTTATGAGTGCTTGAACGGAGACAGAGCGATATTTGGTGTTAAACTAAAAATTTGTAATTCTCAGCTCAGATCTGTGAATAGATGTAGTTTTGTTTTTGGATGTCGCAGGTCTAATCTGGAGTGGTCATAATTTAACACTTCACATAGGGCAGAAGTGTTTAGGTCTCAGCAATTTAGGTTTGAAAATTAATCCACTCCTAAACAATACTCAGTCACTGTAACATTTTATACTTAAGGAAGGATCACATTTAATCAGAATGCCTGCAGGGCAGCAAACTATAGTCATCTGGATGAATGTCAAATATTTTACACGCTGGACTGATCAGCAGACAAATACAAAGAATAAAATAATATCCTACTGAGTGATCAGAAATCACTTTGATTGGAAAACTTACCTCAGAAGAAACAGAAATTGTTCTTTGACTTTGAAAGTGGTAAAAGATTAAACATCATAAAACCCTATAAGTTTCACTTCTCTCTCTCACTTTACGCTGCTCTTTCTTTAAGATCAAAGCCTGGCACAAATGATTCTGTATTTTCAGTCCAAATGAAAAGAAAAATAAAGATATTTGAAGTCTCTTACCCTTCTCCACCTGTCTGTCATATCACCACCTCAGGACACACATATTCTCCCACGTATACACACACCAAACACACAGTGACCTCCTGGGCTAAAATGGGCTCTCAGGAGCAGTTTGGAGCAATGAATTGACTCTATATCGAGGGGATTTTCACCTTCATCCCCCTTTTCTCTTTATCTTTTTTCTCTCGTTCGCTCTTTTCTAATCATTTGCGGGCTACGACTCCTCAGAGTTCTTATAATTGTCTCGTTCAGTCCCCCAGCCTTGCAATAACTGCAGGATACGAGAGCTCACAGTCTAATACTGATACCGGAGCCATATATATATTTGTGTGTATGTGTGTGTACGGGTGATACGACAAGCATGATGGAGAATTGTGTTTATATGAGAGGAGGGAGTGTACTTTTGAGAGACCAAGAGGGAGAGATGGCGAATACCTGGTAATAGATTGCATTTGTATACTGTTTTCTCAGAGTCCCCACAATCTATGAAGACACTCAATCCCAAATCAGTTTTTTTCCCAAGTCCACTAACCTCTCTCTGCATCTGTCTTAGAGATTTATATTATCAACCTTTGCCTCAAATCCTCCCTTCAGCCTTTTGGTATCATCCTTTTCATTTTCCCTCCTGTATATCAGCCAGACTCGCTTCTTTTTCCTTTTTTTTATCGAAACGTGCCTCCTCAAGTTTTTATTTACTCACAAAAGCATAAAACCGTTAAAAACTCAACTTGCAACTTTTCTAACATCACTCCACTTCTGTGCAGGTTTACAGGAGTCGCCTCTGGCTAATGGGCATGGCCACAGTGGGCGGGACTTCCTCAGAAAGCAGATGAGAGGGGAGCTGTTCTCGCCACAGCAGATCGAGGTATTGGACCGCCTCATTGACAGACAGCCATCATGTCCAATCCAATCCACCCCTGAGCTCTATGTGAGCCCTGACTTTGGCAAGGTAAGGGCAAGGCACTGGGCAGGCTCTGGGCTCAGACAGTGATGGGGCCGAAGCTGAAAACATAAAAAAAAATGTGGTTATATAGTATTTATGGTGTCATTTTAGGCCAATTTAAGCCAAATTAACATGCCATTAAATCTGTAAAATTAAAAACAGAAAGTTTTTATTTAACTGTTTGAGCATCAGTTTACTACTGTGATAAATAACAATTTTAACTTTTTAATTTTTAACAAATGAACTTTAGTACCACAAACCAGCCATGAGGGAGTAGCCTAACCATGCAGTTTGTTTACCTTTACTAGATTAAAAAGGCACCCAAGATATTCTATTTTATAATCTGTAGGCGTTAGAGATGTAAGTCCTAAATCAATGATGCTGCAATGCTGAAGCTAACTAATATCAGTAAGCTTAAACTTCATCAGAAACTTTTGATCCAGACCCACAAACATACCAGTCGACCTGCAAACTCTGCAAGTTAAAAATTAATTGTCTTTGCTTTTAGTTAAAAAAGCCTGCCTGCCGTGCCTGCTATGCTTTGCCATGCCACTTCAATGTTCGCAAAACTCCCCTTGTTGCACAATAAAACTGCACAACTCTGCATTTGTCCTCATGATTTGCTTTCACACGTCTTATTTGCTGACTGCTCTGAAAATGTAAACATCAAGTTTGTTTTTTTCTTTCTCCTTCGGCCTGACGCACCGCTGTGGCTTCCTGTGGTCTTATAGACATCCAGATGAGACACAGTCAGTCTGCTTTATCGATGGTCCTATAATCTTGACACACTGCAGGGGTTAATGAGCATATTGACCCGCCGTTCATTATGACCTCACTTCCTGCTGCTCGGAGGACAGTGATGGAGCTATCTGCATGCTGATGCACATGGGAACGAGCTGCATATGTGTGTGCGCTTGTGAGACGAGGATGAGAAAAGGGTGTTAATGTTGTGTCTAAATTGACCTCCAGCCCTTTTTGCAACAGTGAAAAATGTAAATCTGAGTGGAATGGACAGGTGTAAGAGCTACTTTGAATAACAATATGAGAGCAAGCTATTGTTGGTATTCTGTTTACCTTTTCTCAGATGTTTTCTCTTTGCTGCTTGACACTCTGATCAAGTGATAGTTCTGATATTTTAAAGTGGGTTTCTGATAACCTTTGAAAAAGTAATATCTTACCTGCTTAAGATGGCTCAGTTGACTGCTTGAAAAGTAGGGTTTAATTGTGACTGGAGGAATGAGCAGTGAGTAAGAACCTGAATAAGTGGACATCAGTCATCTTAAAACAACTCAAATCTAAAAAAATCATGCAAATATATTTTGTCAATCTTTATACTGCCATCAATTTTGTATTATGCAGTTATTATAAGATATGATATTCCTTCAGGAAGTGTGTGTGGGAGGGTAGGAGGGCTGAAGCTGACTGTTGCTGCTTAACTTGTTAATAGTAGAATTAAACTTTATTTCTTTCATTATGAGGTCACTCAAGTAACTTTCTGCAGCACATGAAATCATAATCAATTAAGCTCTTACAGAAACCCACTTCAGAACATCTGAACTGTTCAAAATGACCCTTTAATTCAATATTTACTTGAAACATGTTTTTGATTTGTTTACTTTTTTTAGTCAGTGTCAAGGACAAAGGGATAATCTCACCCCACAGAAGTTGCAAACTCTAAAAGCACAAACAGGTTGCAGCCTTAGACCTGCAGGGCAGAGTTCGTCTGTTTAACCCTTTCACTTCCATTTGACCGACATGGGGGAGTGTGGCGACTCAGGGCGAGAGGTCGACAGGTATTGGCTGCTGAGGCTCTATAGACTCAGTGCCGTAACACCCACAAGTCCTGGGTCAGTGTCCTCTCTGAGCCCAGTCAAGCCAATGAAGTCTGGGTTCGGGGTAGGAGCTTTTAAATCCGGGTCACGTCAAGGTCAAACCGTGTTACAATGAAATCCAAGCAGCTACGCCACCCCACCCCCTCGTTTTTTTCTCTTTTTTTTCAGTAAGGGATGATTGACAGGCACACCAGTAACACTGACACACTGACAGCTACAGCTCAGCCTCTTTGGTATGTGAGCGGAGGTGTGTGTGAGCTGGTAATGGTGGGGTTACGGTCAAGGAGGGTCAGCCTACATTGTGACTGACAGTCCTTGAAGAAGTCCAACACATTTGGCCCGAGTACTGACGTTGTGTATTGGAGTCTATTGTAGAAATGAAAAGGAAAAGGTAGAGTTGCGCAAACAAGAAGACAAAGAAAAGTGCAACAAGGTCACATAAAGCTCCTTATTTATTTTAATATTTGATGCAAATAAATAAGGACTTTATTTTCTTGAATTAATCTCACCTATAAAGCCAAAGAGCAAAATGTGGCTCCAGTTGTTACTTCTCTCTCTTGTTTGTCTCAAACCTTTTCTTTATATTTTTCCTGTAACAAGCTCTTCTGTTATCTCATCTTCCTCTCTTGCTCTTGTTCCCCTCTCCCTGTAGCCTATTAAGCTTTGGTATTAATTTATGTGCGTGCTCATGTGTGTGTTTGTGCATGTGTGTGTGTGTCTGCCTGTCAGAGAGAGTTCATTTGAATTTCCCTTCAATCACTTCTTATTACTCAGCTGATAAATCAGGAGGGCTAACTGCGCCCCCACCCATTCGCGCCTCTCCGGGTCCAAGTGCACATCTCTTCACTGAATAATCCTGCTACACTGGGACAGAGAAAAGCAAAATTATATTTTTATTTATTTTAACTTGATGTGATTTGTATTTAAGACATTTCATTAACTTAAAGGGGAAGAAGTGTTTCAAAACAATTGTCGGAAAATCTCTCCACAGTAAGAAGTTTCTAAACTGTTGGATAACTTATGAACTGTGAAAGGATAGATGAACTACAACTAAACATTTATTTATTGATTTATGAATTTATTTAAGTAGGTGGGAGTTGTATAATGTGCATTTATCAGTAAGAAAAATGTTCCCATTGCCTTTGACACATTGTTTAATGTGAAATAAACTTAAAAGCATCTTTGGGTAATTTTACCCTACTACATTTATTCTCTTAATAAATAAAAAAAGTCAGCTGAATTTTTATTTGAGACGTTCATAGATTTTCCTTCCTCTCCCCAGAGTTAGGGTAAGTGTGGGTTGTCTGTCTGAAAACGAATATCTTCTCCTCTGCTGCCACGCTCAGTTTGAGTCCAGATAAATTCCTTCCCTGACAATCTCTTCCTCTGTTTGTGGGCCACAGAGGGAATTGTGTTTGTTTATAGTCGAGCCCTTCCCATCAGGAGTACACAAGACGATGTGGTGAGAGAGAAAGAGAGACAGGCAGGGAAGAAATCGGGAGCTATTTGCAGAATGGAGAAAAGGGGAAAAACTATTATGCAAATGGTGAAAGCCAGCGGTGCCGGTTTCTCTCTCTCTCTCTCTCTCTCTCTCTCTCTCTCTCTCTCTCTCTCTCTCTCTCTCTCTGTGTGTGTGTGTGTGTGCGCACAGGAACGATTAGGGCTCATCTGTTATTGATGTGAGATTTGGACTAAACTGTTACCTTACAGTATCTGAGGCAGCAGACCAGCCTGATGAATGAAAGGGAAACACTGTGAGACTCAGTGAGACATAAAACAATAGGAGAGCTGCCGCTAGAGAGGTAAAGTGCTCTAATGGCGTATTTTATAAGTTTGATTTGCTTCGTTCTTTTTTAAAAATTTAGCTGGCCAACGTTTATGCTGCAGACTGAAACATTTCCATTAGAAAAAGATCAACTGCAAAAGCTCAGACACATTGTGAATCACAAACTAAATAGTGTTTTTCAAATTGTAACAAGTATAACAAAACTATACTACAAATCTGTTTTTGTTTAGAAAAAATACATACAAAGAGATTAGTCATTTTTGTTCATATCAAACCAAAGATTTAATTCATGCATTCAGACAATTAACAATTTTGCGTAAAATATATTGAACCGTGGCTGGTTAGACTTCATTTGATGTTATGTTACTGTTTTACTTTTGTAGATTGCATTGGTATAAGTTAATTCAATGTATTTGAACCATAGTAACCCTTCACCAAACCAACTCTGTTGAATGTGGATGTAGGAAGAGTTTTAAATATATGTAATTAACACCAAACCATAATCTTTTCTGTGCCTAACAAAGAGAAACAAAGAGATGATATCCAAGGTGAAACAAACTCATGGCTGCTTTGATGTATCTTTTGTTGAGTGGCATTGAGATCATTTGTATGCATTGTTTACAGAAACATGGCCACTAAAAATAGTCAAATGGTCAAAAGCTTGTAGATGGGGATATTACAGACATTCTGCATGAACTACTCAGATTTGTGGTCAAACAGTGGATGCAGAGATGTAGTGGAGACCCCGGCTGGAGGAAACCCAAACTATGACGTGTGCTGCAACATGTGAGGTTTACCAGGAGCTCTGTGTGTCTTGTGAACTATGAAAGGAGTGTAGGAAAATTAACATCTTACAAGCACGAGCCAACTGTTTGGCCTCAGATGTAGTTAGCTGGTGCTGTTTCAGAGAGTCCAGTTTTCAAAACCAGACTTTCTAAATGCCGTCAAAACGCAATCAAATCAATTGACTTGTTATACTGGATTGAGTTACAGTTTGTGTATGAATTGCTCTGTTACATTTTGCACCTGGTCCAGATCCCTCTGCCATATTTTCTTGTAACCCTCCATTCTTCCCAACACCAACCATACCCCTCCCAGTCCAACCCTTCCATGGCCGGCAGCTGCGTCCCTTTCCTTTGATGAAGGCTGATGGTGCTGTATGAGCAGTGGAATTGACAACATTTACGGGTGCGAATGAGAATAATCCATCTTCCTTAGCGGGCCTGTCACCCCACTGGCCAAACTTCATCATGGCCAATTACCACAGCAGACCCTTTCTTCTCTGCCGGTGCTGCCGCCTGGCCCTATACATGGATACATGGGCACATTAGACACTATTATAATGAGACAGCATAAAGTGGGGGTTGTACAGGGATTGCGTGTTTGATATGGTGAGGAAAAACCTGCAGATTTGAGGAGCGCAGGGTCTGAGAGAAAAGAGGGCTTTAAAAAGTGCCTGGAGCCCAAAGAGGGGCAGAAAGAGAGATGTGTGTGAGGTGTACAGCGTAAGCTCTTACTTGGCAGGTCACAGTCCAGTGGTTGTGTTGTGTGTTGACGAGCACAGGGGTGTTTAAGAGGTCAGTGAGCACAAACAAACGCCTACACCTAGGCCTTTACACACACAGATGCAGACACATTAAAAGGGTCAGTGCAAAACTCTCACCTCATCCCCTAAAGGAAATTCTGATTGGTGCCATTAGTGGACACACACACACAGGTTCAAACACGCACACACAGCTACACACACACTGGTCAAGCAGTAATACATTGGGGACAAAGAATGGAAGCCATTTATTACAGAAAAGTGATTTTTTTAATTAACAAAATAAAGTGCTGCCTTAAAGCTTTTGTACAGTAGTCTATGTTTTTATTTTATAAACAATATATTTGAATAACCTTCTACTGTTTTCTGCTTAATATTTTTCTTTTCTAGAAAATCAGACTTTTGTCTTTACAAAAGATATAGTTCTGGAAACAATGGTTCTTTCGTTCAATCCAGCCAATTGAAGAGTTTTCCTGCTTCTTTCTGTTTCCCCTTATGCTTTAAAATATAAACAGTAACAGTTACAAGTGCTCACACACACTCAAGCAGGCGGTTAGAAAACAGGCCATTGATCTGCCAGAAACACACCAGCCTTGAGAGTCCTCTGCGGTCAATCTGTATAAAGTTGGCCATTAGTGTCAATACCATCACTCAATGTTACCACACTAACTCACACACAATGTCTCACACACAATCACAGATCTAGAGATGAGGATGGATGGGTCATGGTTTTAAGATGGGGTCAAACACAGGTGAGCAAATTTTTTATTATCCATCCATCTGACTGCACCCTGACCTGGTTGTGTCACAATTACAGTATCTGCTTCTTTATTTCTTCAAATGCACAAATGATAGAGAATTTAATTTTCAAACATTCAGATGCATTCTTAGCATGTTTTTGAATTGACAGTGGGATTTTAAAACAGAAATCTGACATTTGATGACAAAGAATGTTAAGCAGAACAAATTATGATTAGGATAAAATATTTCTCAATGTTCTAAATGCATCTCTCAGTGGAAGTTGTCACAGTTTGTTGAAGGTTTGGACCCAGGGATGCAGATTACTGCGTGAGTCTTCCAAAATAAGAAACCAAACTTTATTTAAGCAAAGCAAAACACTGATATGGCAGCAAACCTAAAGAGGACAAAAGAATGAGCAAAAGACTTAGGGTGGCATGAAAATACACTGACGCACAACAGCACATGTAAGGTGTAATGTGTGCCTGATGGTCAGAGAAAAACCACCACTCTTTTTATTGCTTATTATACACTTGATGGTGTAAAGCATTTACTACAAAAGGCTGGTTTTTAATCTTATTGCCCAATAAATGGGTTGAAGTCTACTTTGGGGGCTCGTCCAGGATACCTGTATTACAGCTTCACTCGTGCATGTATGGAATAGCACATGCAAACAATAAATATTTGGAAAGAAGATTCATTTTGTCTTTCTAAAAACTTTTTCTATCAGTGATGTTTTTAGGGAAGCTGAAACTTTTAGTCAGATAATAACCACAGAATGTTTTGTCACTTCAGTCTTCTTTTCTGTTTGCGATTTTGAACATCTATAGTGTTTGTGTGTTCAAGGTCTTTGGAGTATGTGTGTGTATGTGCTGAGATGATCACTGTTCTTATTGCTGTTGGTATCTGGGGAGCCAAGAGGCTTTGTGTTAGCTGTGGTCTATGTAATGCCGCTGTCTGCGTGTAAATATATGTTTGTTGTGTATGTTCTGTGTGAGTGTGAGGATGAGAGGGATGAAAAGAAAGTGCAAGCTGATCCTGTGGTTATAGACTGTTGGACTTGGTTGTACAGTAAATCCCTGTCTTTGTAAACAGATCAATAAACTCTCCGCTGTAGGTGTGTTCCTGCTTGTCTGTGTGTGTGTGTGTGTGTGTGTGTGTGTGTGTGTGTGTGTGTGTGTGTGTGTGTGTGCTCATAGGCAAAGCTTCTTTGCTCTTCGCTGTGAGGAAGGTATAACATGCTGGAAATATGGTTAGATATAACAAACAGATTGATCAAAGCTGTGTGCAACACAGGGCACTACTGGACCTTCATGTCATATCCAACACAGGGGATAAACATTTTAACTTGCTGTTTAATAAATCCATTCTTCATCCATTTTATGCTTTCTTTCAGACATCAGACTACTCAGCCATGGCCTCGCTAGCAGGTGGACTGGATGAGATGAAGAACACTTTGGCAAATCCGAGCACAGGGGCCGAGTTAGGAGCCAATGTGTCGGGTCCACAGTCTTACTCACTAGTTCCAGGTAAAAAAAAAAAAAAAAAAAAAAAAAAAAAAACATTCGACTAACAGCATTTTTAAAATGATATTTCAACTCTTGTTTCAGATTTTGCTTTAAAGTGTACTTTAAGAGACTTTCTGTGGCGTAGTCATCATTAGTCAGCATCTTTCCTGCAGTGGATGGCTCTAAATGTAATCCTCAAGTTTTAAAATTTGAGAGAAATTTGTTTAAGAGATTTAGCCTAACTGTTAGACTCAGGCCTATTCCAGAGAGAATACCCGCCACTAAAAACAATTTTGACCTTAATCCAAAATTTTTGATGGATTTTTACATCTCATTAGTTTTGCATAATAGCACTTTTAAATGAAAAGTGTTTAAACACCTAATTTATGTTACAACAATTCAAAAACCACATTTTAACTCAGCCAGTAATCAGTGCAAATAACTAAGTATCTGTAAAATTTATATAAATAATAATCTAAATGCCCTAAAGTCTTCAGTGCTGTTGTATTGAAAGGAAAGATGTTGAAGGAAAAATGGTTGAAATATGGAGCAAAGGTGTGGGCCTCGTTTACTCCATCTTTCTCCATTTAGGGGCACTGGGAGAGGAGTGATTAATTAAGAGCAGACCAGGGAGTACTTGGACAAGGCTTCAACGCTTCCATCCATAATAAGGGGAATCATTGATCTGGGAATTTGGGGATAACTGGGAATGGGTTCTTTTTATTTTTTTTTTACTCTCTGAACTCACTGAGGGATATTACCTGCACATGCCAGAGAGGAGAACGAGACAGAGAGTGTGAGAAAAAGAGAGAGAGAGAGAGATAAAAAATAATTTCCATTTCTGCTTATGCATGCAAATACACACATTCATGTTCACACACACACACACATCTTCTGAATATTATGCATGCAGTTCCTTAGCTGTCTTTTCCCTCAGAACAGAGCTCCCTCTAGGGGATCAGACGTCTGTGTGTTTGACGCAGTCTTATTGCATCCTTTGAGTGTTGATACTCTGGACACATGCTGTAGAGCAACATCTACATGCTCGGCCCGTCTTTTGGTAACCTTTTTAAACCTGCAGGGTATTTTTCTTTACTCTGAACTTCAGTGTACCAGAGTGCAAACGTACTGCGCATTCTTGATCTCTGTGGGTTTGACACGTGTTGCTCTGATGCTTGTCTGATGTGGATGAGGACGATGGGCGGACAGAAGACAGAAAATGTGTGTTCATCTGTAACTGCAAGTGAGCGCAAAGGAGACTTGTGCTTGTTTGTTGACCTCCAAAGCAAAGCTGTAGAGAACAGATACATCAATACAACGGGCATGCAAATGCACATATTCACAGCATGCACACACGCACACATGCGCACACACACATCTCCGCGGATCTGGCCCTGTCTGCCCCCTCTAAGTTGGCTGCAGAGAGTCCATCTCTCCCCTCGTCCGCCCTCTCCTCTCTCTCCTCAGTGCCCTGTGCACTGACCCTGAGCGGATGAGTAGCCCGTCTGCACTAATGCCTCGCTGTCGCGTCAAACACCGAGAAAAACTTTACTACAGCAGACAGGCGAGAGGAGGCGGAGAGGGACAGGGGGAAGCCGGAGCAGAGACAAGATCTGTGAGAGAAAAGCACATTTAGGGAGGGAGATGTAGAGGAAAATATAAGAAGAAATTTAGAAAAAAAATGATTTAGCTTTTTATCATCTGTCATTCCTAAACTATCTTATTACCTGCATAATGATGCTGCTGCTCATGCAGGGCAACAATGGAAGAGTTTGAACATTGCACCAAAATTATAAATTATCTTTTCAACGATTTAGACCATTTGATTGGCTTTTGCAAAAGCAGTGTTAAACTATCTTAGTGTAACTCATGTCAGCATTTCCTGTTTTTTGAGCAGAATATCTTCAAAGTTGTTTTAATAATTGCTGAACCTTTTCAGTACTTCAGGTGATGCTGCTTGCTGCAAACTACATACTAACAGACTAAACAAGACTTCTAAATATAGTAAAAGAAGTGTCTTTATGCGTGACATTTTTTGTAAGCGTAAATCAATAAATACTTTGGCTGCAAGAATTTTCAAAAATGATTTTTATTTATTTATTTTTAATTAGTCCCATAATTAAAGTAGAAAGTTGTACAATTAAACAGTTGGTGGACTGAAAAATCAGACACTAAAATATTTTTTACAGTTTTGGTGCTGCAAATTTGTCATTATTACTTGAGAACAGTATTTTTAAGAATACCCTAAAACATTTTCATGTTTTACAATCTACTCAGCACTGAATAAAGTGGCCTCAAACCTCTTACATTTGGAAATGTACAACTAGGAAAAGTTTACAATCTGTATTTAATTCTGTAAGTGTACCACATTTAAAGGATTTTTACTTTAATTTACAGTTTAATGAAGTAATCTAATGAAGCTTCTGTGACGTTGATGTAAAGAAAAGACTGTTGTAGTTCTTACAGTGCTCTTTAAAGCCCCCTTGGATTCATCACTATGTTTATTTAGCTTCATCTTTTCTGATCTCTTCTCCCCACCTTCATCCTCCTTCATCCTCCTCTGCCTCCTCTCAGTCAGTCAGTGGTGGTTAAGTGGAGGGGAAGTGAATGGGATTGATGGTGTTAGAATCTGAGCTGTTTATGATGATGATAAGTGTGTGTGTGTGTGTGTGTGTGTGTGTGTGTGTGTGTGTGTGTGTGTGTGTGTGTGTGTGTGTGTGT